GTGGCAAACGTCACAGACACCATCATGACCCTCTTGGTGCGCAACAGCAATGGTGCCCAAGATCAATTCGCTTCCATGACGTTGATCAGCGCCTTGACGTTCGTGCCGATAGCCATCGACAAGGCTCGGTTCCTCTCCGGCGGTGGCAACCTCCTCTGCGGTGCGCTGCAAACTCCCATCAACTTAACATCCAGCATGGCGACGTTCACCGGCAGCGATGTGCTCTGCGGTGCGGGCGGCGACGAGCGAGCAAGTACAAATCCCATGCAAATGGTGTTTGCAGCGATCGTGTCTGGCACGGTCTTGGCGCCAAAGAGTCTCGTTTCGATGGCGTGCGGCGCCGAAGTGCTCACGCCACCCGGCTGCGACGCGTCCGTCGATAGCGCTACGACCTTTGCAGCCACGTACGTTGATGCCGACACGCTTCAAACAATGCGCAGTCAATCGATTGCGGCCCAAGCCAGTGTTGTCGCCGTGAACGTGGGCTATGCCCAGTACCTCTTGGACACCGTCTTGTACGAGGCCGAGCTATTTTTTCAGCCGCTTTTGGATAAGAGCGAGCCGAGTTTGCACTTTGTGAGCTGGATGCTGCTCCACGACTGGGTGACGGGCACGCGCGAAGTGCTTCGATTTCAACGGGATGGCGACTATCATTGGCGCCAGCGCCATTGAGCTGCCTCGAAACGTGGCCACGTATCTTCGCACGTTGTGCCAGTACATTTCCAGCGTCCTTGCGAGCCTCGATTTTGTATGGTGTGGCTACACGCTTCTAAACGGCTTGACAACCGAGCCCAAGAACCTCTTCCTCATCAATCGCGTCGGCGCGCTTGTTTGGCTCGGCCGACCGCTCCTCATGGTCCGCGCGTTCACGGCCCTTTGCATTCTCTGCTCGGCAACGCTCCAGCTGCGCAAGGCGGGGGGTGTCACGATCGCCGTCGCAACCCGAGACGACGTGAGTCCACTTCTCGTCGTTGTTTTGAAAGTGCTTGCCTCGGGCGAGCTCGGCTGGCTCGTGCACATTTTCGAAGACATTGGGATGGTGCTCACACGCGAGTTTGCGGCCATATACACCAAGCGCACTGCACTTCTCACGTGGATCCTTGCCAGCGCCTTGAGCTTTGCGCGTCCCGTCGAGCACGTTGCGCACGTGCAGCCCATTTGCAGGTTGGTGGAC